GGTCACACAGATCATCAGATCAGTGCCAGAGCTATTAGTTGAACCTCTGTCTCCTGACTTTCAAGCCAGTGCCATTTTCTAATCAACCTGGATGTCAAACCATTACAAATGGGAACTGCACAGGTTCTAAGGAGATTATTTCATCCAGTCTCCTCATTTGTAAAGATGAGGATACAGAGCCTCAAAGGTGAGATACAGATGACACAGAGGGGAAGTGACTTAAGAGTTGGGATTAGAATCAATCTCTTTATGCTCAGGACAGTGACTCTTTTTTTTCCAGAAAGATAGGCAGATGTATTCACTTGGCATCTTCCTTCTAAAAACACTTTATAGCTATCTCCCATTCAATCTTCTTGTTAACCTACCCTCATCAGAATACAAATAAGAAAACAATGATATCACAGTAGGATGAAACTGAAGATTACATGGGAGGTAAATGAAAGAAAGGGTAGCTAAGCGGCACCATGGATAGAGAGCACCAGGCTTCAAGTCAGGAAGACTCATTTTCCTGAGTTTAAATCTGGCCTCAGATACTTCCTAGCTGTATGATCCTGGGCAAGTCACTTAACCCCATTTGCCTCAGTTCTGTATTTGTAAAATGAACTAGAAAAGGAAATGGCAAACTTCTCCAGTTATCTTTGGCAAGAAAAGCATAAATGGGGTCATGAAGAATCAGACATGACTGGACAACAACAAAAACATGGTATAGTATATACAGAGATGTCCTTGGGTGTCAGGAAAACCTGGTACAAATTCTGCTTCTGATATATACTGGCTTTGTGACCTTGAAGCAAGTCACTTAACCTCTCTGTCAATGCCCACAGGTACCTATAAATAAACTGTAAGACTAGAAAACAATGACTGTCAATTGCAAAAAAGGTGCCTACACTCATTAGCAGAGAGAGTTACCTCTTCTGGGAGATTCTGATAATGAAATGATAGATATGATCCAAACATGCACATAGATTGTATACATAGACATAGATATATTTATATACTAATTTATGTATATAAATATATGTGTATGTATGTGTGTATATATATATATATATATATATATATATATATATATGTCTGTCTATCCATCCATCTAGCCATCTATCTATCTATCTATCTATCTATCTATCTATCTATCTATCCATCCATCCATCCATCCATCTAGGTATTTATCCACACATTAATTTATTTAGTTAGCGTTCTCCTTTTGCCTCTCTGTATGGATGCAAGTAGAGTGGCGTACAGTTTCAGAATCATGTCTACCGAGCCATTGCAGGCAGGGTTCACTTTAGGACAAATGATGCTCAGTGCTTCTCTTTTTTCTAGTCACATTTTTATTCAGACAAAATCTAGAGAACTGCGGGGGCCAGCTAGCCAGCTTCAGTCTCTTTTGAGGGAGGTGCTGGGTGGTGGCAGGGGTCCTGAGGTAAATGTTTATTGGATGAATGAATGAAGAAAGGAATGCGAACCTCAGGGCTTTTTTTGGAATCAGCTGACAGAACCACTGAAGGAAGACTTGCCCTTCAGCCTCCCTGAGTACTTGCCTCTAGCAGTCTGGCTATATGTGGGAGTGAGAGGATGGGGGTGGAGGGAGGAAGGGTTCCCAGCAGCCTAGGAATGGCTTTGCATTCAGATGAGCTTCTTCCATTTATCTGACTTAAGCTATCACTTAGAGTACAGCCCCTCATCTTATAGGGCATGCATTTCATGAATCTTATGGTTAAATAAATAATGATCCATGAACATGGTCCCATATAATTAGTCTATATTTTGGTCTAAGTACAAACACAATGCCTATAGATGAATTAAAAAGAAAACCTTTTATAATCACCATCATTGATCTGGACCATTTGTCCCCCGAAATGAAAGAGCCTCAGAAGGCATCTAGTCCACTCTGCATGAGGAATCCTCCAAATATACTTAATTACCTAAATTCTTTTACTCATGGCAAAGGTTAAAAAGGATATACATGACTTGTTTATGAGCAAGAGAGAGTGATGAGAAATGAGAGTAAGGATTATTAAATAATCAAATATTGGGGCAATCCAGTTTTTTTTTTCCCTTTCCTACATCCTCTTTCTCTACTAAGCCAAGCTAGTATCTGAAGGACATTGTTGATGGATGAGATTGCTAAAATCCCTGGGAATTCTGGGTGGGTGTTGTTGCCCCACTCAACTAGGAACATTACAAAGAATTTAATCTAAGGTGAATTTCTGCCCATTGTTTTCACCTAAGCCAGGTCTTCACAGAGATGGACCCCCTTTTGTTTGGATTGCCCTAGTCAGGGGTAGTCTGGATAAAAGATAAGTCTCTTTGACCAAGACTGAGTGACTAGAGTCATATTCCCCAGACTCTCATTAGAATAAACTCACCCCTCATTATAATATTTATTCTTTCATTACTTGTTAACCAATCAGAATTGACTGCCATTCTCAAGAATACCCTTTCTTCTAAAGACATGTAGGCATTGAGTGGGTTCCATGAGGGGTCTTTGGCATTCAAGAGTGCCACTGACTCCTGTTATTAATTATTACTAGTGTGATTAATAAAATGACAAATTACCCAGAAACTACATCTCTCAAACTTTTTATATGCCATAGTTTTCCATTCATGTGTTCCTTGATGCCTTAGAAAAAAGCCAGTGGTACAACACATAATTCCCACTGAACTTTCCATCATCATCATTATCATAACTGATATTTAAATATTTTTAAGGTTTGCAAAGTGCTTTTCATAGCTCATCTCATGTGATCCTTACACAACTACTTTTTGAGGCAGGTACTATTTTTTCAGGGGAGAGAACTGAGACTCAGGAGGAGATGTGAATTGTTCATTGGTTATATGAACAAGTAAGTATCTGAGGCAAGATTCAAACCCAATTCTTCCCTTTTTTTAAGTCCTGGACCCTTTCTATTACATTTGTTCAGTTACATTCATTTATGTCTGATTCTTTGTCACCCTGTTTGGGGTTTTCTTGGGAAAGAAACCAGAGTGGTTTGCCATTTCCTTCTCCAGCTCATTTTACAGATGAGGAAACTGAGACAAACATCATTAAGTGACTTGCCCAGAGTCGCTCAGCTAGAAAGAATCTGAAGCTGGATTTGCATTCAGGTCTTTCTGACTCTAGGGCTGGTGCTCTAGCAACTTCACCACCTAGCTTGACTACATTACAGAGGCATAAACTCAAATAGAAATGGAACCCTACTGACTGCTTACTGACTTAGAAAACCACAGAGTAACACCATCTATGTCATCTTGTATTTTTTATTTACTTTATTTAGCATTTTCCAATTGCATTTTAATCTGGTGCAGGCTTCATTCAGGGGTTTGTTTGGGGGAAGTGTCTTTTTTAGCCCCAGAGACTTGTACATAGTAGGAACTTAATGTTATGCTGAATTGAATTAAATGAAAAAGCATAAAGGAAAAGGAAGACAAGATCATTGATGAGGCAGAAAAAAAAAAGATGAGCAATAAATCTATCGACAAGAGAGTCATACTTTATTACCAATGGAACTAAGAGAAGTGGTACTTGGGAAAATACCGCCAAAGAAGATTTCATAAGAGATTCAAATTGGATGAGTTTGACTTAGCTTAAGAACTTGCTTCAATGCAGTTTAATACAGGAAACTTACATTAAGTATCTATTTATCCTCCTGGCCAGAGGTACCCACCCTTTCCACCATAGTGGCCAGAGAGCTAGCCTCAGAGTCAGAATGAGATGGATTTTGCCCCTTACGTGGGCTGGATTTGTGACTATATCTTCTCAGTGTACTTGGCACCTTACTAAGACTGAAAATTGCTGATTAGCTGCGTGTTGACATCAGTAAAGAGTGTTTCCTCACTGGGAGTGCCTGGCACCATTGAAGTCACAGGTGCAGAGGAGATAAACACATATCTACAGGCACTACTGCTAGGGATACAAAGATAAAATCAGAAGACAGGATCAAGGAATTTATAGTGGGGAGGGTGGTTGATAAGGAATGTTGTTAGAAATATTTATATTTAGCATCATAGATCTAATGCTATATGTGACCTCAGAGGGCATCTAGACCAGTTTTTTAATTTGACAGATTAGAAAACTTCATTTCAGAATGGTAAAAGGACTTGTTCAATGCCATAGAGGTAGCTAGGTTGCTCAGTGGTTAGAGCGATGAGCCTAGAATCAAGAAGACCTGAGTTTAAATCCTGCTTCAGACTAGCTCTGTGTTCCTGGGAAAGTCACGTGACCTCCATCTGCCTCAGTTTCCTCAACTGTAAGCTGGGGATAATATAGCACCTACCTCCTAAGTTTGTTGTGAGAATCAAATGAGATAATATTTGCAAACTGTTTTTACAAATTTTAAAATGCTATATAAATAATAGTCGTTATTGTTAGCAGGCATCAGAATAGGATTTGAACTCTAATTTTTTTAACCTCCAAATGCAGAAGTCTTTTTAATACAGCACATTGCCTCCCATAAAGTCAAAGCAAGCAATTAAGCTTAAAGAAAGAAGGCTATGCAGGCAGGAATAGAGGAACTTAGAATGTCTCGTTGACTTCCAATCTTAACTCTTTTTTTCAGCTATCTATGTGACCTTGGTCAGTCAGGCAGGCAGCATTTATAAAGTGCCTACTATGCATTAGATACTGTGCTAAACTATGGGAATACAAAGAAAGGTTAAAAAAAAAACCACATAGTCCTTGTTCTCAAAGAGCTCACAGTCTAAAGGGTCTGATGCTTTGCCTTTCTGGTACTAAATTCCCTTATCAATAAAATATTGAGATTTGCTCAGGTCTCTAAGATCACTTCCAGCTCTGAGTTTCTATGTTTCTATGTTTGGGTTTCTGTTTTTGTTATCACTTGGCCTTCTCTGTGAATAAAGGAAGACAGGGGCCAAAGGCCCAGATAATAGAAACCTTTTTAAACCTGGTATGATAAATATGCTAACCATAAATGTCAGCTTAGATCCATGTCGCATGCATCATTCTGGATATATCCTAACTCTGTTTTCCTTTCTTTAAGCACAACCAAGGAAAATGCCCAGCCCAGAACTGCTCAGTGGAACCTCCTGCCTGGATGCCTGTTCACCACTGTACTGTAAGTTTGAGATTTTTGATTCCCAGTTTGGTGAAGCAGAAGGCTGAGAGTTCTCAGTGCCTTCCTGGTGGCTTCTTGAGATTCTGCAAGAGGAACAAGTCTTTGGAGAGGAGAGTAAATATGTTATGAGAAGATAATGTCTCATACATTTCTACAGTAGTGAATCTTACAATTTTTTGAGAAAGAGGAACAGGAGCAGGGCTTAGTTGATCTAAATGGACTATTGATGAGTTGAATTCGGATGGTCATTAAAATGGATGGTTGTTGTTTTTCCCCCCCTGAACTGCCTGCATATCAGCAATATTTGATGTCAGAGACAGCAGAGAGGGGAACTTCACTGTCATTTCTCCCTTTGACAGGCTAATAGTGATGAGTACACTGATTTGCAATTTTCAAGTCTTCCTGGTTTAATAATAGTCTTACCAACTCTGCGTTTGTGTGTAGTCTTTCATCAGAGGATCTGGAAGTGCCTAAGAAACAAATAGGTACCATGTTATTATCCCTGTTTTACAGATGGGGAGCCGAAAGACAAAGGGAGTCAGAGGCCTGCCCAGGGTGGAACAGTATGTCAAAGGCAGAGCTAGGAATAGATACCAGATGTCCCACCTCTCTGTACTCCCCAACTTGTTCCTCTACAGAGAGCCGCACAGCAGGTGGGGAAAGTGTTTGAGTGGCCCACTTCTCTCTAATTGCTGTGATAGTCAAAGTCAAATGGGTGGATTGGATGGCAGGGATTTATTCTTTTTGGCACTGTGGTTGTGTTATTGGTAAACTACTTGTGTGCTATGAACTGGGCTGTTTGTGATCCAGGGTAGCACGTTCTAGAATTTCATGTTTGTGGTCTCCTGGTATTTCAACCCCTGTACGAGGCAGGGGATGTGGATTAATCCTTGCTCAGTATGATCGCTGGGTAATGAATGGCTCTTACTGTATGATACTTTGGGATTTTGAGACAATGTCTCAGGAGTAGCCCTTGCTATTTCAAATCATCTAAAGCAGCACCAATGGCAGAAGGTCAGAGACACCGGATTTGAGTTCTTCCATGGAACTGGTGACTGACAAGGCCTGATGTTTTACTTTGTCCTTTTCAACCCCTACTCCCATCCAATGCTCTTTGCTGTAAAATTAGCTCATTGTCAGCATCATACGCAGAGCTTCTCTTCCATTTTGTTAATTTTAATAGGTCTTGGCATAAATCCTTCTAAACTTAGTTGATCTGTCTCTGAGTATAAGTTTGGATCTCTCTTTTCCTTCCCATCCCGATTATTACCAGCTGAGAATATTGTTATCGATTATTGATTGTTTATCTTTGTTATAGGAGGGCAAATCTATGCTCAAGGGGGGAGTGGGGTGGGGCAGAGAGGGCCGATTGGTCCAGCTATGAGAACCCAAGAACTTGATGTGACCCTAGCCTTTGGACATATATAATCTTAGAATTTTAAGAAGCCAAGGCCTTTCTGTGAGTATTGACCTCCAGGGGTCACACAAGAGGACATTAAGCAATTCTAAGCATTGTCAATGCACATGACCATTTTATGGAGAACTTCATCCTCTCTCGCTCATTGTAGATTTTCAGAAAAATGCCAGAGGACCACATGTAGAATGTATTAAAGTAGGGGTTGTTTTATGGATATGGATTGGACTCGATGTATTTTAATGACCTTGGCAACTCTGAAATTCTGTGATCCTTTGAATTCTATTTGCCTTTCTTTGCAATGTTACAATGTGATGAACACCTCCAGGGGATTCTAAGTGAAAGAACAATCGAGATGATGAGGGAAAGATTTCCCAGAAGACATACTTCCAAGAGACTTTCTGAAGACAGAGGATAATATAAATGGGCAGGTGAGGGGGAGGGGAAGACGCATTCTGGATGTAAAGGCTAGCATATTCAAAGGTATAAAAAGAGGAGAATTAACAAGGAAGTAAGCAGTGTGATATGATGGAAAAAGCAATGATATGGGACTTGCCCTTGCTGTGCAATTATAAGCTATATTACTTCTCTGCTAAACCTCAGTTTTTTTTTGTTAAAAAATGTAGATTGGATTAGATGAGCTTTAAGGACCCTTTGTAGGTCTAACATTCTTTCATATTTTGTGTGTAAATAGTATGGAAGGGTCATCTATTTATCTATCCAACCATTCATCTATCCATCCATCCATTCAAAGACATTTTTTCAACATCTACCTGTGAGTTCCATTCATTATTCGTAGTTCTGCTCTCTGAAGTAAGGCAGAATAAATCTGATCTTTCTTCCCTGTGACAACCCTGCAAATGCTTAGGGTATTTTTAGGGATATAAACAACAGCAGCAATGATGATGATGATGATGATGATAACAACAATAATAATAGAAACTGTAACAACATTTATCCAGTACACTAAGGTTTTAAAGCACTCTACATATAGATGAGGCAACTGAAGCTGAGAGATGACAAATGACTTGGCCAAAGTCACACAGCTGTTAGGTGTCTGAGGTAGAATTCATACTCGGGTCTTTCTGACTCCAAATCCAATAATGCACTGCATCACCTAGCTGTCTCCTTCCTAATAACCCAATTCCACACGCGATAATATCCCTAGAATCATCATCAGACTTCTTATGTCAGGTGTTATGTCGTGGGTCATCTAGGTGGTATAGTGGATAGGGTTCTGGGCCAGGAGTTAGGAAGACCTGAGTTCAAAGACAGCCTTAGCCACTTAGTGTGACCTTGGACAAGTCACTTAACTTTGACTCAGTTTCCCTGTCTGTAAAATGGGGATAACAATAGCACCGTCTCCCAAGATTGTTGTGAGCATCAAGTGAGATATTTGTAAAGCACCTAGAACAGTGCTTGGTACATTGTAAGCACTATATACAATTGTATTGTTATTCTTGATGATGATGATGATGGTGGTGATTCTCTCTTAATAGAACACTCCAAGTGGAGTCAGTTTGATCACTTGTTGGGCAGGTTGTGTAGGGGAGATTCTTATGCATGTCAAGGTTGGACTTGACCAGCCTCTGAGATCACTTCTAACTCTGAGATTCTATGATTATGTCTTCTACAGCAGGAAGATTGCTTCAGAAGGCCTTCCAAGAATACCTCTTGTAGACAGGCTTCCAGGAAGAGGACATATGGGACACAATAACGGTAGCGAGGCAGTGATGTCCCTGAGTGTGGCATTCAGTGTATTCCAGGGTCATTTTCCTTCTAGTTCATGCACATCATTTTTTACATTTCCTGCTGTGTCTGTCATATAATGAAAGTTACATCTCTTTTAAAATGGGAAAATCAATAGGAACAAGCTTTTCAAAGAAAGGCAGGCAAAAGGCTCCCTTGCTGTTTTCATTGTTTTAGTGTGTTGTTCTAAACAGGCTCCCTTTACCAGGGTAGGTAGAAACCAAGGCCCTTGCATTATTGTCAGCTGGTATAGTGTTGTTCATGACTATCATCCTGATTATTATGTAAGAGTTATTGTTGTTTTTTAAAACACATCTAGTCTGTGCCCACCATATATCATACTGTGCACAAACCCCACAGCCACACACAGCCCTCACTCGCCCTTTAGAGGCATACGTTCTAATGGGGACTTGACATAAAAACAATAATGTTGTATCTGCCACTCTATTTGTTTTCCCTGTGAACCTCAGGCCCATTCTATTAACTATGCCCTGGTGCTCTTATCCGTAGGTCATTGTTTCTAGATTTACCTTTCTAATCATTGGACTAAAGTTCTCATTGTCCAGGATAACGTTCTCACACAACAAACATTAACAATGTAAAACTAAGGACATGAGATGTCTTTAAATGATCATATTGGGGGGGAATGCTAAAAAGTATATAGTCTGAGGTCCTACATTGACATCCAACTACAATCATAGACCTTCTGGCATCACAGGCTGTAGCACATAGGCAGGATGTGTGTCGTGAATTGTGTGGTGTAATGGAAAGAGTTCTTTTTCTGCTCTGTGACTGTGGTCAATCTTTGGTCCCTCTAAGACTCAATTCTTTCATCCATAAATAGGGAAAATCATGCTTGTACCACCTACCTCACAGCGTTATGGTGAGGAAAGTATTTTTTAAACTGGAAGACTGATATAAATATATGTAAGAGAGAGAGAGAGAGAGATTAAGAAAAGAGAGGAGGCGAGGAAAGGGGAGGAGAAGTGTGGCAAGGAGAGAAGAGGTGAAGAGGAGAGAAACACTAAGTGGTAGAATAGATAAGGAGCTACACTTTGAGTCAGGAAGAGCCAAGTTCAAATTCTACGTCAGATATTTATTAGCTTTGTGACACTGGGCAAATCATTTAGCTTCTCTTAATTTCACTTTTCCCATCTCTAAAAATAGCATCTACCTGCTCCTCCTATAGAACTCTATAGAAGAACAAGAGTCAGATGTCATCAGGGAATTCATGATAAAAAGAAAAGATAGTATAGTTATTTGACAAGAGCTATAGAAGACAGGTGGACAGTAAGAGGGTTCCAATGGTACCTTCACAATGTCAGGAGTAAATAAGGAAGGCATCCAGCACATTGGGTGAGTTCCTTGATGAAATTATGAGAGAATATGGACAAGAGTTGCAAAGGAAAAGAAGGCATGGATGAGTTACAATTATCGCTTGAGAGGATCTCTAACTTTATGAAATTATAAATCCATTTGAGTGTGTGTGGGATGTGTGTAAAATTACATATACATGTATAATGCTATATAGGCATGTTAATCATATTTATGGAGATTCAGTGTGCTGATAGGGAGAGAGGAAAAAAAATACACTGCTAGTCATAAAATTCTGCTCTCAAATCTGGCTTTCACACTTGTCAGCTGTGTTCCTCCAGAAAAGTCACTTCAGTCTCCCCCTTCCATTCCTCTGTTACCTCATCTATAAAATGTGGAATCATACTTAAACTATCTACCTCATGGTGTTTTGATGAGAAAAGTACATAGTGAACCTTAAAGCACTACAGAAATATGAATTGTTATTTTTTGGGAAGCACTCTGCTGGGGTAAGGAAGAATTT